AGAAAGATCACTCCACAGTACGGTTGCTATTTTTTAAAAATCATATGAGCAAAGTTTAGGAGGAAACAGATAAAGAACCAAATAGATCTTTACTATGATATGGAAGAAAGTGTGAAATTCTGGTTTTGTAAAGTAATTAGGTAATAAATAACTTAAAGGAGGCGGGGGGGGGCAAATGGCAAAATAATAATATAGATTACTCCTAAGAGTGAAATACTTTATAAACCCTTTGAGTCATAGGAATAGTCCAAGTAACTGCTACTCACTTCATAACTATTATTTCTCATAGTTATTCCTATGTTTAGATGTCACAAGAATGCCATTCACTAGTGGTTATGACCAAGAGTCTATAATCATCTTAATATTAAGTGCTTAGGGGTGCTAGAAATTAACGTAGAATTCAGGAATACTCACTTCAGCTTCTCTAAGATACTGGTGAATTTCTTCGGCATATTCAGTCACATTTATCACATCTGTACCAAAATCTGACGCATCTTCAGACTGGGAATGGACAGATGTATCTACCAGCATAGGGGAAACTGCAGGGGTTCAACATTATCAGGTAAGACATTTAATTTAAAAACTTGTCCATCTACTAACCCTCCACAGGCAATTGTAAAAACAGTCATTATAAAAACTTCATGGTTTTCTCTTGCTAGTTACATGCTATTGAACACTGCAGGTGATTATGAACACAGGGTACCATCAGCTATAGGTGAGTTAGATTACCTGTGCTAAAATCCAGCAGGAAGTGAAGGTCTGACTTGAGTGTGCTGGTGTCGACTTCATACACGTCCTCGAATGCCATCCCCTCTCTCCCTGGGAAGCTGTTTCTGTCCTCTTGCTCAGGTTCATCCATGTAGATATCAAATCCTTGCTTGGCTGGCACATGGACATCGCAGTCAGAGAGTGCTTTCTTTCCAGCTTGAGGGAAGGCATTTTCTGATCCAGAAAAACACCTGATTGTTGTGACTTCCTAGAAAAGGGTTAAGTTTTTTGTTACAGGACACCCTAAAGACCATATAGGCAATGTGAACCTGTGTGAAAGAAACCAGCAGGCTTGGAAGATGAGAGGAATCTTAAATTGAAATATCTATGTCTGCAATTCAATTTCAGAAAATGAGACTTCCAAAGTATGATTTCTCCCTTATCTATGTCTACATTTGACATTTGGTATCAAAGGGAACTCATGATTATAGAAGAAAGAGAAACTATAGTTCTTCTCCAAAATGAGATAAGTACTCCATGTGGGAGGATGGGTTTTAAACTGGCTTTCTAGCTTATAACATTACAGGATTTATAAGTACCCAGCATAGTGCCTGATGCATGGTTAGTGAGTTCTTACAGTCCTCCTCCTTAAGTACTTAACTTTTAGTCAGTAGGTCCCTGAGGTTCCCCTTTTATACTCAGTAATTTAGAAATATGATTTTAGAAACTCCTACTACTAAATTCTCTTACAAGCCATAGAATCTTTTCGGATGACACAATGCAATTACTTCTGAGGAAACCGAACTCTCAATCACTTCTCTTTTTTCTTTATTCCTATAGCATTAACAATGGGAACAACTGTGTGAGGTCCCTGTATGAACAAGCATAATGTATCAAACACGACTGCACATTAAGATGAGTCATGTTGGATGGCCTGAAGGTCAACTGAACCAGGGCAGGTGGGCAAGCTTTATGAATTTGAGTTGTATTTATACAAATGCTAATCTAGATACTGCCTTACCATTTTATCGTTTATAAGTACTCTTGGTGTGTACTGTTGAGGCTACTCCAAGTTATTATGTGTTTCCGTAACTTTCTCTTCCATCTAGCAAGTTAAATATGTGGCTTATGTCTACTCTAGCAAGAAAAAAAATTCTTTATGGTAGTACTGGCAAAAAAATTACAGGAACTATAAAGAACCAAAATCCTAAGTTATGATAACCAGATAATCATAACTCCAAATTACTACCAAGTTTGACTTTTGCCACATAGATATATGTACATGAGTTGAGACATACATTCATTAAATATTTACTGAATATCCACTATGTGCCAGGCATTGTTCTAGGTGCCCAGAATTTAGCAATGAACAAAATGTTCAGAAAGATTTACCCTAATGGAGTTTATATTCTAGTTGGTGGGATGGGGGAAGAAAAGATACAGTAGGTCGGATGGTGGTAAGTGCGTTGGAGAATAACATAAGGAAAGGAGAGTCACTGCCATTTAAACAGGGAAGGCCCCAATGAAGAGGATAGAGTTAAGCAAACATATGAAGGCGGTAAGGGAGTAAGTGACACAGCTAGAGGAGAGAAGAGCATTTTGGGTAGAAGGAAGAGCATGGGTAGATGCATGTTGGACTGTGTCTTAGAGACACAGCAAGGAGCAGACAGGGCCGAAAGAGAAAGAAAAGAGCATAGGTCATAAAGTCAGAAGGAAAAGAGAAGTCAGGTCACACAGGCGTTACAACAGGCCATTTAAGATTTACCTTCTACTCAGAGATGGGCAGCCACTGGACAGTTTGGGATAGTATCTGATGGCCCATTATCTGTTTGCCCAACTGCCCTTTGTCAGCACTGGGGAGATGTCTGCTTTCAAATCACTTTTTGAAACAATCTAGTCCAGCCTGATCCAATCCTGATTCTAAGCTCTCTCCAATGTGTACATGGCAAAGATTATCCAGGATTGCTTCCAGCACAGTATAAATCAATCTGAACACCACTGACCTGGAGGAACCCCAGTTTCATAGTTTATTTTGGGGCACTCACATTTCATTTTAGCCTAGCATGTAGATGACTTTACATATACTTAACCCAAACAGTTCCTAGACCTATTTCCTCGATTTTGGGGGAAAAAAGTATTTATTATTTCTAGCTGGAAAAGGGACCCCACAAGATTATCTTAAAAAATGCAATGTCCCAGTAGTCCAGACTCCAGGGTTGGAATACTTAAGGGGAGTTTGTAGGTAGAACTGTAAGAGAAACCCACCTCCCACCACGACAGGAAAGCCTTTCTCAACAAGCAGCTTCCCCAGTGCTTCTCCATTATTACCTGGCCACAGGCCCTCCTGTACTGCCCATTCTCAGTTAGCACCCCTAGCACTGTTCTTTGTGGGGGATCCTGGCCAAGCTGGGCTCTGGTCATCTGACAAGCATCAGGACCTGGAGGCAGGACTGCTCCGCTCTTAGAGCTGCTGAGATGCATAGCCTCAGTCTCCAGGGGCTGCTTCTGTCAGGGAAGGAGAAGGAGACAAGCCAGTTAGTCAGCCTCTTCCACCAGAGGCTCTAAGGATGCAGCAAATTTCTAGATCACAGAGACTTGTGATCTTCCCTGCAATTATTAAGGCTGAAAGGGCATGAACCTCGGAGCGCAAGCTATTAAAGCTGCTTTGAACCAAAACAGTGGTGTTAATCTGTCGAGGCTTTCTTCCAAGACCTGGTTGACGGCTGGAAGGAGAGACACAGCCCGACAAACTTCCAAGCCAGGATACGGAGCCTGACGTTACTAAGGAGTCTAAACCTACAAGTCTAGTCTTTCCCAGCTGCGATCCTTATCCCCCGCCCCGCCTGCAGACAGACAGAGAATACATCACTGCGGGGAAGTACGTCCCCTTCCCAAGTGGGCGAGCGGGGTGCTCCTCCGCGGCCCTTTTCCCACCGGACGGAAGTCCTCACAGCGAGCCTCGCTCTTCACAGCCTTATATCTTTAGACGTGTCTCCAACAATAGCAAGCGCACACGGGGACTGGGAATGAGGGGCCGCCGCAGGGGGCGGGGCGGGAGGGCCCTGAAGTGTCGGCAGATTCCAGTGGGGGCGCCGGGCTCCCAGCGGCGACTGCCGGGGCGCTCA